TCAAAAGGCCGATATCCTTACCAAGCCCCTTGAGTAAGTGCTTCTTAGTGGGTCCATTTGTAAGTGCTTCTTAGTGGGTCCATCTGTACTTATGTTCCAAGTGGACCCTCTAACCGAACATCGAGGCGTCTGATCCCCTGTACCTCGCTTTATATATATCTTTGTTTGGGGTACGTAGGCAGTTACTTGTTTGAGACAAGTAGTGTGATGCCATTTTTTATATAAGTTTTACTTGTTTGTATTTCGTATATATGTGTTTTCAGTGCTTCACGTATTTATCTTAAGTGTTTCAGGTAACAGGAAGCCTAAGTGTTGAAAGTGATGCTCGCTTATATCTGGTCTCACCATGACATAAAAAGGTTACCCGTGTCGGTATATTATATTCTTGTCATGTCCTTGGTTGAAGTTTGGTATATCTTGTTTTCTGTGAATGCCTTGATCTATAATTTCTAAGACATAATAAGTGTGAGTAAACATCAATGGAAGTGGTCGGCATGTCATCGATACGAGTGAAAACCACGTGTATCTTTGTGGTTAGCATAGTCGGGGCATGATAGGAGATCATGTTAATTCCTATGTGATGGGAACACTTCTGGTGTTTGTGAACGTATTTGGTCAATGCTTTCTTTAGTGCTTTCCTGGTTATCATGTTGTTGTTTATGCATAACCACATGTTGTATGTTTCATGTTATATCTTGTGTTCATGTTTATGTTTTACCATGCTTGTATGTGTACATGTTGCATTATATCCTATATTGCATGCATTGTCGTGTGTCCTAGATGACCCGAACCTGAGATCCAATGTGTGTGACCTATCAAGCATGAAAAATATCTCAACTTGATGGATTTGAGTTGTACGGGACTGAAAGGCATAGTACATGATTAAAGGAATACTAGTGCAAACTTATATGGCAGCTCAGGGGCAGACGATTGCCGCAGTTCTTTGTAACAGGATGCAACCAATGCCTATTTTGAGGAGGTCTGAAAACGTGCAAAGGTAAAAAGGTACTCATGTTTATATTTTTCAGGATGATCGTAGTGTTGCTGATGGATCAGGAAAAAGGTGTCTGAGTAATGCTTGACAGGAAACACACAAGGATCGATGATGACCGACTTATTCTTAATTAGGTCCAACTATGGAGGTTGTCTAGGAGTCGCCTTGGCAATTTTGTCTAGGTTTAGGTTTTCTTTTCTGCATTATAGTTGTTTTCTTTTTATATTATCAGTTGGTTTTTTTTTATGTTGGCGTGTACTTAAAAAAAACTGATGTTTTCTTTCAATCTAGTTGGTATAGTTTTTCACTCTATAGCATGAGATGGTTGGCTTTTTTGTTATATATCTTATATCTTTTGCTATGGATGGTTGCAAATGTACATGATATCAAGTTGTATGTGCATTATCTCTTGTTGGATATCTTGTTATGTTTATATATGCGGTACACATCAATATGGCTTTCCTTCACTCTTGTTTTTCCTGGATATCATGTTGTGTGTGAATGGCATGTTAGCATATATCTTCGTTGGCAAACCCTTGTTCTTACATGTTTTATTAATTGGTTCTTCAATTGGTTTGTCTTTTTGGCTTAGCTAACTCTCCTTCCAGCATGATCTCGGTGGTTTGTTCATGGTTGGACATCACCTGGGATCTTTTATATGTTTGAGCAGGGGCCCTTTGTCAACTTTCGACAACAAAAAGGAGAAGAGATATATGAATATATAGTTGATGGTTCATATAGTTATGCTTAATGTTCATACCTATGTTCTTATCTCATAAGTGATGGTTCTTAATTCTTGATGACCTTATATGTATATGTGTTGTCTAACCCTAACCCTAGTATGTGAGCTTGCTTTCAAAGATCCTATCTACAAGCACATACTAAGGGGGAGCTGAAGTTGAGGGGGAACTGTTGCCCACAAGTGACTCATAAATGTTTTGTAATGTTATAAACATGTGTTTTGTATATTCATATGTGTTTTTGTCACAAGTTCCCAAAGGGGGAGAATATTGTAAATGTTATATCTTGTGAATTGTGACAAACAGTGGAAAAACGATCATTTCACATGTTATGTAAGTTATGAGTCCTTGTATTAGGTCTAAGTCTTGTTGTATAAGTGTCCGTGAAGTTTCGGAGCTGAAGACATCAAGATTGGACGCGATCGGCGACAACCGGGAAAAACCGAGTCAAGGCAGGACAATATTTATATGTCAGTCGACTGATGTATAAGGGGATCATTGGAGTTGAAGGTCAATCGACTGACCCTTTGCAGCCCATCATACCTTATAAGGTCAGTCGACTGACCATATGGGAGCTCATGAAGATATTGGTTGTCAGTCGACTGACAGTCCTTTTCCGGTATTCTCAAACAAAACCCTAGGTTGGTCAATGGACTTTGACCAACGGATCTATTTGGGTTTTAGGTATAAAAGCAACACTTAGAATTGTAGAACTCAAGGATTTGGCTAATTTCTTCAAAGGCATCAAGAGGAAAACCCTCACTTGGAGAGAGAGCTTTAGAAAGAAATTCTTCCATCTTCTTCCTCCACTCAAGCTAACCAAGATTCATCTTTTGTGAGTTGAATGAGAGTACATTGTGGGTAATTTATAAACCCGAGAGAGTTTTTTTCCTTTCTCAATCCACCTTTGAGAGGTTATTGTAAGAGAGAGAAAACCCCATTTCTTTGTTCTTCAACAAGATTTGTAAAATCCTAGATCCGCGGATCTAGGTTAGGGTAATTGGGACTATACCCTACTACCAATCCAAGAGGAGGATTCTTGGTTGAAAGCTAAAGGACTTGTCTTCATTTCTTTCAAATTGTAATCCAACACTAAGGGGAGTGGTGTTGAGCTAAAGGAGGTTCATATTTGCTTTGGGATTCTTAATACAAGGATGTACTTGAAGAGTGATGTAGGCTTCATTGGCCGAACAATTATAATCTTGTTTTGTGGTTTGCTTCCTTTTACTTAAGTTTCTTTATATGTTATGTTGTTTGTTTGTTTGAAATCTCTACAACCCATCCAACCAATCTCTTAGTTGGTTTGTATTATGGTAGAGGAAAGGGTGAGAGTGCCTCTTTCGCTACTCACCCCCTCATACTCCACAACAACCTAGAACTAGGATTGGATTACTTGGTTCATTGATTAAGAAGGTTTTTATCTTCTTGATCTAGTTGAACAAATATCCAAGGACTAGGAGATTGATCTAATTTCATCTTCATGCTTTATGTATGTTGTTTTACTTCTTGTGATAGAATTGCTTAGGATTGATCTATTTATTTCGCACTCTTTATATCCTCAGCATATCTGTTTGTATCTGTTTTATCTGTGGGGTGATTTTTGTTAAGTAGTTTTTGAAAAGGACTATTCACCCCCCCCCTCTACTGTTTGGGACACCATTGTGTAGAAATATCAATTTAGACTGCAAGTTTCATGCTCAGATATATCTTAAATTATGAAGCTAACGTTGTGTAAAATATGCGAGAATTATGAGTATATTATTATTTATATATTTCTGAAATTTATTAGGTCTGAGGAAAAACAATTATTTAATTATCTTCTCTTTAGCGAAACAGCTTGAAATTTTTATACTAAGCAAAATATTTAAGTTATAACGATGTATCTAAAATTCGTATATTTTTAGTAAATATTTTGCTTGTTATTTTAATGTATTACTTTCTCGTTTTCCGTACGAAATTTCTTTTTATGGTTTTAGGTATATTTAATTTTTTTTTTCAAATATGTTTTTTACCTTTTAATTAAGCTCAATTAAAAGTGAAGAAAAATTATATAAAAAAAATTAAGTCCTTGAATTAATCTAGGTTGCCTCATAGTAGCGCTACATTTAACGTCTTAAGCTAGACATGATGCGTGACAATTATTGTCACCCCCAAACAAGAGTGAGCTACCCCCAAATTGAGTTAGTCACTCTTGTAACCATTAATGTTATTCATATAACAACAAACGGAATATGTGTGGGTCAAATATTTTTCGTGGAGGTTCGTTAAGCTTTGATCCTAAAGGTAAAATAATGTCGTTCCTTACATTCTTAAGAAATTTTTTGTTTTTCAAGTTGAGGTTTATTATAAGGTTTCTAATAATTTTTATATACATTTTGCTCACTATAAATGATGGATCAACAAATAATGACTCATTTGTTCCTCCATGATCAATATAATTTTAGGACACTAACCTCTCTATGTATCTAGGTTTAAGTTACACCAAGTGTGGACTTAGAATGTAAGAAAATTATCTACCTCCTTACTCAAGAAATGAGATCTATTTTCCTCGTGTGATTCAATACAACTAGTTGAAACCTCAAAACTTCTTATTGTTTGTTTAGAGTTAATCATTGGTTGACGATATAATTTTTCTTTTTCTCACTCGTTGTCAATCTCAATGAGTCTTTGTTCTGAACGTTCTATTATTTTAGATTGAGTAGCTTGTTGTTCTAGTAGTTTCATAAGCAAATCTTCATTACTTGATTTTGGTTCAGGTTTTTTTTAAGGATATTTAGTGTCATATCTATATTATTACTCATTAGATTGTCATATTTTCTATATGGAGAGTTACTTGAACTAATTGTTGAGGTTCAGGATATTCTATTTCTTCATGTGTATATAGTTCGTTTGGTTCCCTCTAATCAAAGTTATTTGTTTCGATATAATCAGTATAAGGGTAATTAAAATTAGGTTCATTGACACTCATGGTTGGGTTAACTTGATTGTTTTGTATATAAAGATTTTCGGCATTTTCAACAAAGTTATTAAGCAATATATTGTCATCATTGTTTTCCTCTTTAACCGGGGTTTTGATATTGTTTGCCTCTAGATAGATATTCGAAATATTGCTATATTGTTGAAAATTTTCAGCTAACAAAGCAAAGAATTTGTGGGCTTTACTTACAGTTAAACCTAAGAAATTTTCTCTGTTCATAGATTCTACAATATGTCGAGAAGCAGGAGTTAGTCCAATGTAAAAACATTGAACTAAATACTCGATTTGGATTTGATGATGTGGGCATTGTATTTGAAGATCATTAAATCTATCCCCAAGCTTCGTAGAATTCTTCATTAGATTTTTGTCTAAAAGTTTTAATTATATTTCGAATATCTATCGTTCTAAACATGGGGTAATATTTTGTTAAAAATTTAGAGTTCAAATGTTCCCATGTTTGAATTGAGATTCCGGCTAAGGAGTTAAACCATTTAAAGCTTTCTCTTGTAATGAAAATCGAAAAAGTCTAAGACATATGCACTCCAGTCCTAATTTATTTTCATTAAAAGTAGAGCATATCCGAAGAAATCTCTGGACATGTGCGTATGGGTCTTCTTTCTCAATACCCTTAAATATCGGCAATATTTTTATGATGTCACAATTAATTTGAAAATCAATCCCTTCAGGTAATTCTGGCAAAACTATACAATTAGGATGTCCAGAAGCAAGAGGTGCAAAGAGGTCGCATACTCGCTTTTCAGGAAAAGTCATTTCTAATAGTGTTATAGGTTCACTACTAAGGTTGTGTAGGTCAAAAGAGCAATTTGCTAGACCTAGAGGACTATTGTCAAAATTAAAGACTACGGGACTTCTAACTATGATTATCGTATTAAGTTGTAAATTATTTTTAAACTAAGTAATTAAAATAAATTAATTATCCTAAACTAATTAATTTATTCTAAGTTAATTACAAATCAAACTAATAATCTAAATTAATTACTCTATCTATAGTATAAAGTAAATCAAATTATCTAACGATACTATAATCAAGCAAGCTACCATACAAACTAAACCATTCAAGCAATTCAATTAAATCAATCCTCTTGTAGGAGATTCGAGGAGAAACGGGATAAACGTACCTTTTTCCCTCGAGCAACACTTAACAAGCAAATATAATTTAAATGCTTTTAAATTTAGGAATTAAATGTACTAGAAAAGTAGAAAAGTATAGAGAGTGTGTACCTTGTCGCTTGAACTTAATATTAAAAACGTAAAATTTATATCTAGAAAAATCTTGTCAGAATTCCACCTTGGTCGCACGCTGCTGGTTTTGCCGGGAAGCCTGATCGCGTGGTGCCACTTGATAATGTTGAAAGTTGAATGGTGCTCAGAAGACTGTTACTGCTGCACTTGGTCAATGCTACTGCCAAGCCTGGACTCTGGATCTCCTGGACACTGCTTTTGTCTGTTGCTGCCCAAGTTGGCTGGACGCTGCTCCTTCCAGGCCTAAACACTGGCGATGCTGCTGCCAAAGACACTGCACACGTTGCTGTTTGTTTGTTGCCCAAAGTGCTGGACTACTACTCCTGGTTGCTTGAAGCTGCTTGGCAAGTGCACAAATGTTGCTCCAAGCTATTGCATAGTCTGCCAGTCTTGCCCAATGCTGCCTAGTACCTGATCGCTTGTCGCCTGCCAGTGCCCACTAATAGGTCACTTACAGCCACCTCCCAAACTTCCAGAAACTGTTTTTTTTTAATTTA